CAAAGCTTCCTCCCCGAGGCTCCTTAGGTCCTGCTGTCTGTGATTTGAGTCACATACCATGGATAAGAGGACCAGACGTGGCCATCCATGAGGTAGGAGGCTGCTCCTATCAGCAGGGAGGGCGGGATGGGCTGGGAAGATGAGTGAGAGGGGCTTCTCCTGGGATGCTGATAAAGCAACTGCTGCCGGGTGAAGAGCAGACAGGATGCTGTGGGTGGAAGTGCAAAGCGGGTCCATAACAGGTAACCGTGTTTATTCTGGTTGACATTGTATTTGCCCAGATACATGTTTAAAAAGAAACTGTGAGCGCTCTTAGGTGGGGCGTGTCCTCTCCAGTGTGGTCTCAGCTCCACTGCATCCTGTTATCTTACACTTGACTGTTTCATTCATTTTGCTTCATGCCTGGTCCCTCTAGGCCAGTGGTTCTCAACTTTCCTAATGCTGCGACCCTTTAATACAGTTCCTCATATTGTGGTGACCCCCAACCATAAGATTATTTTCGTTGCTACTTCATAACTGTAATTTTGCTACTGTTATTAATTGTAATGTAAATATCTGATATGCAGGATGTATTTTCATCATTACAAAAGGGTTCCAACCCGCAGGCTGAGAACTGCTACTCTAGGCATTTAAGTCTGCAGGCCCTGCAGCAGGGCGTTGTCACATCCATGGTCAACTATTTTATTCTTATACCATGCAATTAGAGCCTGGTCATCTTAATTAATAAGTAAATCTCTTATTTTTTCAGCAGATTTAATCACTACCCAGGGGGAGTTTGAGTCTGGCTATTCCAGTCCTCCCTCCCGTGGTCCCCACTTCCCAAGCTTTGCTGTGAGAGATGTTGACCACAGGGCCATTCCTACACCCTGTCTAGGTGCACAGGGCTTCCTTTGGAAGGCTGTTTCTTGCCAGCATGGTTTGGACAGTGCTTCCCTTGTAATGTGGATTCTCTTAGTGGTTAATTTAAAAAACAAGCAAACAACAAAAACCCAGAAGTGCTCCATCTCAGTGTTCACGGGTGGCGCTCACCCCCGTGGGGTTCACGTCCTCCTCACATGTGCCTCCATCACAGTGTTCACAGGTGGCACTCACCCCCGTGGGGTCCGTGTGCTCCTCACGTGCCACTCCGTCTCAGTGTTCACAGGTGGTGCTCACCCCCGTGGGGTCCGTGCGCTCCTCACGTGCCGCTCCGTCTCAGTGTTCACGGGTGGCGCTCACCCCCGTGGGGTCCGTG